TACATTTTTTAAAGAAAGAAACAATTTTAAAAAATAAAATTATAATTAATTTACATGAAAATAATTCATATTGTCTAGGCTAGTGTTTCGTAAGCAAAATCTATTGTTTTAAAGTATAAATACACCTTACAGGTCAGCAGAGGAACAGGAAATAACCACTGACAGCCCCCCTGAACCCAATGGTGACAAAAATAGGGTATAATAAATATTTTATAAAACATAAAATAAATGTCATAAGTTAAACTTTAATATTCATTTAAGATGAGAAGAATGTAAGTTTTTTAACACGAATCAGTCGTGTTATAGTTTATGTTTGGCTTGACTTATTAATGTACTTTGAATTAATCTTTCAACGCCATGTTAAAATAAATAAATAAAAACTAATTTTAAAAAACCAAGAATATATGAGTGAGCAATGTTAATTTTCTACTTTGTGCTCATACTAGGATAGTATCATGAGTTAATTTATTGGTTCAAAATCACTTGCCGTCTCCACGTATTGACATATTTGAACTTTTTACTCCCCACCCCTAATTCTGTAACTGTAAAACAATTTTACCGCATTTTCAAATATAATTTTAGACATTTAAGAATATCTGATAATTTGATTCTAAAAAAAAACAACACACACACACAGAGAATTCAATAAATTCACGTATCTGCTTCAGAATCGTAATATTTATAACGATCTTGTGAAAGTTTAATGCTTAACACTATTTTTTTTTTAAAGTGTCTCCAAGTAAATAAACTGTTCGTCTTTAATTTTTAAAGGTGTTCTCTCCAAGAACAAATCAATGGAACTCATCTCAAGGTTTAAGCCTTGAGGTTATTGAGGACACTATTAAGAATATTGCATCCAAGCTTTGCAGTCAGCCTTCGTGTGATGGCCTTGACCTGAAACCCTATTTGGATGTCTTATTGGACTTGTTCGATTTTAATGAGAAACATCAGGCCAGTGCCGCAGAACACCTGAGTCAGTTTGGGATTACAGGTAAGGGTGTTAAACACGCAGAGTTCAAAATGTAATTTTTTTTTATATCATTGAAATGATTCAAGTAAATAAAACATTTAGGAGCTCCACATTTTAATATATATATATATTTCTTGTCCGCAGAGAAACTTGTAGAAATTCTGAAAATTTCCCAAAACGCGGACACAGACGATCTTGGTGATGAAAAAGATACGAGCAATCTTCAACTGGAAGTCCTGGAGTTGTGTCAGAAGTTCTCACAAGAAAGCGGTCCCTTTTGTCAGGTCGATTTGAAGCCAGACAAATAAATTATTGAAAAATAAATGAATTAAAAAAAAACAAAAAACAAAAAACCCTTTTCATTTGCGGAGAACATATACGCTACTTCTCTTTAAAAATGTTTCGTATGTTCCAAAGTATTGAAAGATTTTATTATTTTAAATGCAGGAGCTTTCTAGATTCGGTGCTGTGAGATGTCTCACAACTGGTCTCAAAAATAACTTGGCTAGCACTCAAATGGTAAAAAAAATTAACCCTAGCGTCTCTTAAATAAGGTTTCAAAGGTAGTGTATTTGTAGAGCTCATTGCTTAAGAAAATAATGATTATCATTTAATAATAATGATGCAAACGTTTTAATATTTTTTTTCATTTCATCTTGTTGAGGACGTCACAAAATGCGTCAAATCTTACGTCATAATCCTTCACAACATCTCTGTAAACAAGACAGACACACACGATTTTGTGTTTGCCAAAACAGCCCAGGTATGATAGTTTCAAACGTTTCTTTAATGCACGATTCATAATTTATACAGATTTCAGAACAACAAGCGAGCACTTCAAAAAATATTGTTTTATTATGTAACACGTCGTTAAATCTATAGAAACCTTTTAGGGAAAATGTCAGGAAGCTAGCAAAAATAAGGTCAGGCTTATTACCCTCCGCCTCCGAGCAAACGACACCTGTTCAACGTCCTGCTTGCACTTATTCCAGGGGCATTCCCTCATATTCTCTCATTCTTTTAAATGGTTTTTATTTGACATTTTCACTTGCTATTATTTTTGAAGATTGTCTTTTCACGAGTTTAAGATTTTATCGAAAACGAAAATAAAAAAAAAAACACATATTGGAGTGCGTACAAATTTAGCATTTTGCAGAGCTTAAACAATTTGTTTAAACATCATTAGGATGTCCTATGTTCATTATTTCCTGATTGAAAACACACATTCTAAAAGTAATTTGAACAGGAGCGGGTCATTCGAATAGGGCGTAATCTAATAAAGCAAAAGATTTTTGCAAGCTAGCCACACATCTACAATGTGTTAAGCAATATCATCGATTTAAATCTTTTTACTGAAAAATTTAATTTAAAAAAATTTAAAAAAAAAGGAACTCCTTTATTTATTTATTGACAGGTGCTGGAAAAATGTAAAACTCATATCGATGACGTCATACGAGTAGCGTCCGTGCTTACTTTGGGACACATCTATAGTGTCGAAGACATCAGACGGCTCAACATAGACACAGGTTTATTTATAAGACACGTACACACGACACGTACGGTTTAAAATTTAGTGTCAAGGAATATCTAGGAAACACATTTTAATGTATCTTTTGCATGACAGAGAAGTTTTATTGATATCTGGTCAATTTCAATCGCTTTATTAAAAATATCAACGATTTGCTCATTTATTAAACAATATATTCTTCATATATTCTATCAAAAATTTTGGATCCGACCAACTGACCTGTCACCTTTTTTCAAAGCTGACAATAAATAACAAATAAATTGCACTAATTTCAGAAACTATTGCCCATTCATGTCTTGGGTGGCTCAAGGATGCCATGACAAATCCTAAAAGAACAAGTGCAAATGGCTTCCACACTTGGGCCATTATCTTAGGGCTTGCAAGGTTGGCGGAAAATCTCGTCTTTCGAGCTCAGGTTGGAAACATAGACACTAAACCACTTTAGAGTGTTTAAGTTTATTCATAATGGACCTCAACATTAATTTGATTTTAGAGTTTTGTTGAAATATCAATATTTCAATGTGTTTTCGGATTTTTTAATATAAATAATAATAAATAATCGTTTATACCATTGACAAAATATGTTTCTGTTTCTCTTCAAGATGGAGACATAATAAATGCACTTTTGTATTTTCACACAATTAGTTTAAGACTAAGGGTGGCTTCCAACTCGTGTCTAGTGTCATGAGTAGCGCACGTGACCCCAAAGAAAGAAATGCTTGCAAAAAATGTTTGGCTATGGCCGACAAAGGAAATGAACCTCGGGTAGCTAAGGTTATCGCAAGAAGAGTCGCAGGTAGTGTATACATTATTTCTAGAACGTAACTATTTTCGAATAATTAAACAAACTAAAGTAGATGGTATATTGCTATCCAAAGTTAGACAATTGTGTCCCTACGATTACTATGCTGCAGCAAACTCTAAAATGGTTAAAAACTATTTTTAAATGAAGATATACCCATGTTCTGTTGTTGAAAATATACTTTGAATTTCTGGCAATATGTAATACTGCTTTCTTTGTGACACATAATGAGAGATAAACATCCATTTATTAACATAAAGGCATATTAACTCTTTGTTACAGAAGTTAGGCCAATGATAAACGCAGCCTTAACACGTCAGCAGTCGTTGCCACCGATTCTCCCAAAACCACTGGGAAATATTTTTGAAGTGGGTACAACATGCATATAGATTGTAAAGAGATCATTAAATATTTTAATTATTTGAATGTCTGAAACAAGTTACTCCCAACATTTTGTGTTAAACATTGTTGAAAAACCTTGCTTCACAACATGCAACCACGTTGCTTAATTTCCACACAAAATTCATCAAACAATTTCTTTATTTTGTTTTTTTAATTTACAGACTATCACAAGAAAGGTTTCAGCGCTCCATTCCATTCCTTCTAGCTTTGACTTTCAGCTCTTAGATTTAAACTCTGACTTTCACTCCCTAAATTCAACTCTCAACTTTCTTCTCTAAGTTCCAGCCCTCCAGTTTCGACAGTCCACTGTCAACTTTCAACTCTAATTTTTAACTCTCAACTTTCTATTTTCATCTCGAAACTACCCTTAACATCAACTTGAACAAACCCATTACGTTTTTCAAAGGCACCGCTGTCCAAACAATATTGAACAATGAAAAACACATGGTGAACATGGCCTTACCCACCAAGATAAACAAGTAACAATCACTTAGCCTGACGTAACTTACACCAGGAATATGGTAGCCGTAGTGTTCAATCCCGTAGCATCCAGAGTACGCCACCCCCCCCCCTTTTGTGTATGTGTGGGGGTACTCTCTACAGCGTATCCCCCCCCCCCACCCTAACAAGTAACAATCCCTTAGCCTGACGTAACTTACACCAGGAATATGGTAGCCGTAGTGTTCAATCCCGTAGCATCCAGAGTACGCCCCCCCCCCCCCTTTTGTGTATGTGTGGGGGTACTCTCTACAGAGTATCCCCCCCCCCCACACATTTTTTGTGTTTGCTAGCTCCTATTACCGAACGCATTAATCGTTTTGAACTTCCTCAAAGATCCCTGCAATATGAAAAACTACACTGTGGTCAGAATATCACAAACTTTATCTTTAAAAAAAAATACTCCACTGTATTATGTGCATGTTTTAAATTAGCATGACTTAGAGAAAACCTTTCTTCAACTTTAGCTTCTTTGTCAATCTTACTTGGTCTCATTCCTATCATAAAACCAGCATGTGAAAGATTACCAAGCAAGCAAATATTTCTTCTTTATTTAGAGGCGACATCAAGCAATTAATTCAGTTTCTGAGGAAAAAACATGTGAAGAAAAGGACCAGACGTCGAAAGAGGTGATTCCGTAATTTAAAAATAAATACATAAAAAAAAACTCTATAAAGTTGTATATCTTTGTATACTTTTGCGAAAGTATTTTCTGGATTTGTCAAGCATAATAAATAATTAAAACCAACTATTTTCTCTAGTTCCAGACTACATGCAACTACAGTCAACTAAGAAATATCGACGTCCTCCTGATTGGTAAAACAGGTAATGGCAAGAGTGCTGTGGGGAATACCATTCTAGGCAGACGTGCCTTCAGGAGCACGTCGAGTTTCTCGTCCGTGACCAAAGACGTCGAGTACGAAATGGTCAAGTTTAAAGACTGCCTCATAAAAGTCGTAGACGCGCCAGGCGTCGCCGACACCGACGGTATATCTGACTTCGAGAAGGCGTCCAAATGCGTTGCCGAGAAAATGAGGCACGCCGTCACCGTGAATCCCGAGGGATACCATGCTTTCCTTCTGGTGATCAAGTACGGCAACAGGTTCACTGCTGAGGATCTGTTCTGCGTACGAATGCTGAAATCAATCTTTGGAGAAGATTTTGTCAGAAACTTCTGCGTATTGCTAGTGACATGCGGGGACAGATTTAAGGAGGATAACGAGCACTGTCAATTTAAAGAATGGTGTGAGGGACAGGAGGGTGTTTTTAATGAGATTTTAACAGAGTGCAACAATCGAGCGATTTTATTTGACAACTCTACCAAAGATGCTATGGTTAGACGCAAACAAGTCAAGGAGCTGATGAAAACGATCGACAATATGCAGTTTGCTGGGCGACGCTACACGGATGCACATTTCGAAGAAGTTGCGGCAGGACGAGAGAAATTTATGCAGGAAAGTACAAAGCCAATGATCAGAGAAGACACGATAAAACAAACGTGTCTCCTCATACAAGACCTTGAGGAGTTTTCAAGCCTGGAAGGTGAAGCCCAGATTAAAGAGCTTGGTGAACTGAACGAGAGGGCCACTGCAGTCAAACGTCGAGTCTTGGAGCTGGATGGTGGAACTGGAGCCCTACAGCAACCGATACAAACTGTTTCCGCTCTAGTCAGAGCGACTTCAGAGAAAATGAGCTTCCTGAGTCAGTGCGTCAAGGAAAAGGAAGACCTCGCAAGAGAGCAGAGTGACATCGAAGTAAAATACACCGTCAAAATAAAAAGACAGTCGCGGAGTTTCGATCACTCGTTCGACGCACTTGATTTGGGAAAACACGATTTTAAAGGACGGTGTCCAGCAGAACCAGAAAATGAAAGTTCTAATGCATCTACAGAATTACTGAAGGGACAGAAGCACAAAATAAACTCAAAACATTCTGCTTCAAGGAATGACGTTGATGAAAAGGAAAAGCCCGTTAGTGTGACGGACACAGTATTTAGTCAAAGATTAGGCCAATTATTGGAAACGTGCACTGATGATTCTGGGTCTTCAAATAGTACAATGGCACAAATGAAGCTAGTTAGCGCCGTGGAAGTTGAAAAAGAAAGAGTTAAAAGGCTAATGGAGCAGCAGAAAAATAAATGGCAGGCGGAACTGCAAGCAATAAAAAAATTAGCAGACACAAACACAGAGGAGATGCAGATGATGGAAAGAAGACTCAAAGAAGATTTTCAAATAAGAATCGAACAGCTAACAAACGAATTTGAAGAGAGACTGAAGCTCATCCTACAAACGTATGAGTTAAAACATACGAAAGATAGAGCTGTCCTCCATATCATGTTTAAAAAAATGAAGAAATCATTTGACGAATGCATACAGCTGAACTCCAGTGACGAGGCGTCAAATTGTGCTGTGTCTTAAATATTTATTAAATAAGCTTAATTTTCCAACGACCTTAATATGACTTGTACAAAACGAAGACAGCTAAGAATTTCACAGATGCATAACTCACTTTTGTTTCATTAAATGGACACGTATTTTAACTGACATACTAAATTATCATATAAACTTTAAAAATTTATTTCAATAATAATATTTCCCCTAGCACGAGTTTTTTCTTATACATTTACTTTATAAAAACACAAAAAGTTATAGTACGTCTTACTCTTGAACAAATACGGGTGTGCATCATTTTATTTTAAATGCAACATTATACAATTAATAATTTGTGTAATAGTAATCCATAGTAATCTAACGAGTCATCAAATGTTTGAGCATTGTATAAAATTTAGGTTACTGGACCTAGCTACTGACCATCACCATGGCCAGTCAAATCCTTTATCCAAACGCAGGTAAATTAAACTGATTAAATGAACGCATTCCTCATCGATTCATACTAATTTAGCATTTTATAACAATGGAATCAATGATTTTAAAAAAATTGTGTTACCGCACGTTTTTATAATAATTGTATAAGAAACAATTTAAAAAAACAACTAAAAGCAAATTAATCATTAATTTGTTAATTCCGAATTTTGTTCATGTTTTAAAGGACTTAAATAAAATGTGTGAATCAATAGGTCTGGCGATCTCACTTTATTCACAGTTTATCCCAGGAATGTAACACTTTTTTCAGATTTTTACATGACGCCTTACGTATCGGAAAAAGACCAAATTTTTAAAGAAAATGTGTAATTTACTGAATAAGATAATTTAACTTATGAAAATATTTGTATATATTAGCATGTATGTTTAGGAGGTGTTTAGTTTCTGTTTTATTTTAATGTTCTATTCAATTTTTGATAAAATAAAATGTTATATTTACATCTTTTTTTAAAATGTAAAATTTAACTTTGAATATCAACTTAGAATATATTTTTTTTTTTAAATATCAACCTTAAAATTAGATAAAATACTAGTACTTATTATCGATCTGCATACCTATTACTTTTTTTACAAACAAATGTCTCTAACACCGAGAAATGTCTGTGAAGAATTATCAAGTTGAAATAAAAAAAAACTTATAAAATGAGTAAAACGAAGCAGGGTTAAACCTGAAAAAAGGAACGCAACAAAGCACTTAACGTCCCAACAGGAAGCCTTCGTCAGTAAACAAAACAACAGAAAATCTTGGCACGTATAGTTAGCCGGTATTTAGTTCTCTTTTATTTTTACTATACTAATTTTACGAAATAATATGTTATTTCGTAATTTTTTTTTAAAAAGTTAAAACATCAACTTTGATGATATTAGTATATATATACTAACATTGTGTAAACGTTCATTTAAGATAAAATATTTGTGTTTATCATCAGTGTGAATGCATACTGCCATTGCGGAAACTTATTTAACACCGTATAATGTCATGGAAGTGTGTAATAAACGATCGAAATTTTGTTTCATTTGGAGTTTTTGTTTAAATTTTTATTTCGTCTGTTGCTAGAATATGTTTACATTAAAATAGACATCACAGTCAATCGTGGATCTAACAAACGAACTTGTTTTGTTAACGTTATCATGTGTACAAAAACTAAACCTGAAGTGTAATTATAGTCAACGGGAAAAAAATATCCGATATTAATTCAAAAAACGTTTCTTAACACTATGACATGAAAGGTAAAGACATGAATATCTATGCATATATTTTGTATCTGTTTATAAATAAGAGAATTTTGCTGTAAATTTTCCTAAATGAATTTCAAGAGATTGGAAAATTCGTATTTTATTTTGAGGATAAAGTAAATCAAAACCCGATTCAGTTACATACACACCATTCGGAAGTTTACATGTTTTGACTTCGCAATAGAAAGAAGAAAATAGCGCACTATACCTTCATTTATTACCCGAGAAACAACGGGTCAAATATTCTAGTTATATAAATTTGAAACTGAGACTATCTCTGTAAAACGAAATAAAAATTTGACGCAGCAAACGCACGATATATTTCTAACAATCTCATTTAGCATCAGGAATTTTATTTTGCGCGCTGTTGAACTCATCGTGATACCACACGTAGCTGGAAACTTAGATTGAGCAATTTTAATGTCTCACAAAATTATGCCACTTTCGTTCAAATTACGAAACATAAGATAGCTGGTAAAAATATAAAAATATTTAAGTTTACATGATGAGTTATGGATTTGAATTCAAAGAAGACATGCAAATTTGGGTCTTGTGGCAGTGTGCTGCTTTTAATTTTTTTTTTAAAACAACAAACATACCGCAAAATAATTGTTAAGCTTCAATTAGATTTTGCGAAATTTGAAACCTAATGAAAAGTTTTGGAAAATGAAGAAAATGAGGCGGGAACAAATCCCCCCCACACACACACACAACAACAAATAATAGAAGGTAACAAATGAAAAGATGTAGTGGGGCTGTATGCAATAGAAGTTTTATTTTAAATGCCTCATTAAGGTAACGAAACAACTTTTTTAAAATTAAATTTAATCCCCATCACAAAAAAAATATTCTGGCCTTCCCCTTTGCATACAATAGACATGTAATATCTTCAATATCTGATCTTCAATTGCGGTTACCATTAATGAACATTTTTAAAAACGCGACACAGGGCACCGCGAGATAGTTGAAAGCTCATTTATCAGAGATGCAGAATACTTTCAAAGACATAATTTGTTGATCAAGTGATCGCTGCGACCCTCGTATAATTTTCGATTCGCAGCTAAATTATTTTAGAGCTTACTTAAATCAGGCTTAAGAAACTACACAATTAAAATGTAAGCCTCCATATTTTTTCATCTTCGTAGCATATAGGAAAAATTTAATTTTTTTAAACATACACCTAACTTTACAAGTTACCAATAAGTATATTATTTCACAAGCTTCTTTCTGCGACCAGTCACACAGAGGCCTGGCGTTCTGTAGCATCCAGGCAAATGCGTGAAAGATACATTTTTCTAAATAAAGCTATGAATTTTTGGTGGAAGGCAAGATATGGTTTTTGGATCAAAGTGTCTGGCCTCCAATATGAACTTTCGATCCCTTGGTGCAACGATATCTTGATCAAAGTCTGCAAAACCTAATAGGAAACTTGTCGACTATTTGCGTGGGGGAGAAGGGGACAGACAGTAAAAACGATATAGGTAGCCATCTGAAGGTGGTATACATTTTAAATAAAAAAACAACTAAAAGCAAAAGAACAAAACAAACAGCTAAACATTGTGAGAGACCTCACAGCCGTTTGCACGTCATTGAAACTATCGACCTTCAATACCTCATTTTCAGAGAAAAACTCATTTCCCGGGAAAGTGTCACAGCTGTAACAATTGATCTAAAGCTACACAGCAAACGTTATCCTGGGTTTAGGGCACATTGTATAGGTTAAAGCTATTGTGTCAAAATTTGAAACTGAATGAGCAATGTACAATTAAACCAACCTAAACCAGGGCATATTTTGTTGTTATTTCTATTATACACATTGCCACGTGGAAACGTAGTCACTGCACACACACACACAAAAGCAAGTACACACACACACGCATATATATGTAAATATTTTAATTTACAGACTAGCAGAAAAATCCGCCACCATCTGACAGCAATGGGTCTTCAAAGTAACATTTTCAAACATTTGATAATGCTTTGCTCTCGGCTGAATAACTTTTCGAATACATTGATTTAAGTATCTTATTTATTAACATGGGCAGCACTTAATTTCAAAAGCCTCATTAATTTTCTCGATCCTATAATTGATTGTCATTTAGATTATTTTTGTGGTGTTTTTTTGGTTCTTAAAATACCCCGAATGAGGTCAAACATTTTGGTACCTATATAAAAGTCTTAATGCATTCAATGTTTCTGAATAAACAAAGAAATTTTAAAGTTTGAAAAAAAATTTTTTTTTTAAATAAAACAAACCCCCCTCCCCCCAAGATTGTCATGTTTATTTTCCACAAGAATTTGTTCATGCGCCAGATTGTTATGCTGCACAGTTGACGACAGATGGCAGACTCGGATTATTCAGGGATGGCCATGACACAGGCTTGTTAGCATTTTTTTTTCAAGAAATTTTTTTAAAGCACGTCATCTTGCAATTCGTAATGAGTACGTTGCGTTACATTCACCCTGAGATAGTCCAGGAATAGATCCTTGTGTTTATTAAACGTAAGTTTGTAACTTTTTTTTTTTTGGTCGAAACTATTTAGAAATAAATCAGGATAATTTAATGAGCTTAATGATTAACACGTCATATAATTTGCGTACCTTTATGTGCGAGT